GCTTTGATGCCACCCTGCATCAAAATACCATTTATGATTTGATTTTACAACACCTGCAGTCCAGTCCTATACAGGTCTGCTCAAAGTTGCATCAAGTTCAATTTGGCTTGCTTACTCCCATTTAGGAAGGGACAGAATGACAGCTTTATGATTGTAATTGTTGTTTCTGTTGAAAAGTAAAATTCTGTCTCGTTGGCCTAAGTTTAGAGTTCTCTTGCTGCATCCATATTTAAACAAAACGTATCAAAGAGAGCTAGCTGCTCGTGATGTGTGAACACATTTCTTCCACTTGCCTCATGTAAACACATTTTGTATTGTTTCAAACCTATTTGAGTAGAGACAACAGAGAGACAAGAAGAAAGTGTGTAGATACAGCACAGGAAGTGACACTTCTTTCAAATCAGTGTGTCTCCAGCCATATCAAAAAACATTGTTCTTTCCCTCGAACTGAATGAGGCAGCCTGTATGATTCAAGCACAGAATTCCAAGTTATGACAATAGAGAGTGCCAGACAGATTGGAGACTTGAGTCAAAGAAACAAAATTTCCCAGCCTCTTGGGGCTGGCAGGATCCAGGGCTTCCTCACTTTCCACTAAACGTAAAACCCGGGCAAGAACAAAAAGATGTTTCAGCATCTTCTTATTTCCATACCCAAAGGACTTTTTCCTCGTAGAAATGTCGTGCCAAACATAGATTTCAATTCTTCTTTTCTACACACAAAGGAGTCATTTAACTTAATACCAAAAGATTAAAGCAACACTCTCTCATACAAGCGCCACAAAACAGGAAACATCTTATGTTGGCTGCTGCCACCTCTTCCCACTTTTCCATTGCTAATCATTTCTACCTCGAAACGGTAAACATTTCTGTTTTATTTCTCCATGTTTCTGAGCTTTGTTCAGATCAGGAAAAGTTTTGTTTCTGGGTCTTCAGGATATATATTTGAGCCCATACCTAAATCATAAGAAAGAATGACATACTTTTCTGAAAAGTAGGTTTTTTCTCCCTACCAAAATGACTTCAACAGTCATTTTAGGAAAAAATGGTGTAAATAAAGTCCTAGTAGATCCTTTGGTCTGTGCATACTCCCCCCCCCCCCCGCCAAACCTGCCCCTTGATGGTCTCCCTTCTAGGGTTGCCCTATCTTGAAGATCACAAAAGAGGGCATCACGAGCTGCTGCCATCCCAGATGGGCATGTTGGCCCCCAAAAGGAGAACATGTCTGGGTTTTACTGGGCCTATGACAACCCTACTTCCTTCTCTCCAAAAGAACTCACATGTAGGGCTTATATTGTTGTTATGTTATGTTGTTACGTTATGTTTTATGTTGGTATGCATGTGTGCAAGATTTTGTCCTCACTCACAGCACCATATTACCCAAGTCCGCCCCTGCTAATACTATATAAAACGATTTCTGCAAATGCTTTTTTTTTTGTAGAAATATACGTACTATATTTTAAAACAATCACACAGCAATGCTCCTCTAACACTCCTCCCTCAACATGCCCCTACCAAAGACTGAGAGCGACTTTCAAAGAAATATCAGTGGAAAGTCCCTGCTTACAATCTAAAATACGCAACACAAAAAGAAAAAGGAATGAAAGAGAGAAGGAAAATATCATAGGGGAGAAAAAGGGTTTGAGGGAAAGGATTAGATCTGAACAATAAGATTATTGCTAATAATCTTAATTACCCACTTTCCAGTGAAGCTGGGTAAGCAGCCAAAACAAGCAACTTGTTGGAAGTTTTACAGTGACCTTTTTCCTGATTATCATCAGATGTAAAGTCTTGTTTGGACACTGGACAGGAAAGGTATTTCATAACCAAGAAGCTTACAACCTGGTGGAGTTTCCTTCCTTTCTGGAACTTTACTAATGATGTATTATTCCAGTAAAGTTCCAACATGGCATTTAAAAAACTTCAGTCAATAAAAGTAGGTTTCAGTGTTAGTGATGCCTAGTAGGAAGCTCATAAAATCCAGTAAGGGGAAAATATCAAATCATAATAAAGCGCACATTTCAAATCACAAATGAATTTTCAAATTTGGGGGGGGGTATGATTGAAAAGGGTTGCATCTTTAAACATGTCAAAGATTATTATGCTACATGATTTCCAATTGCAAACTACAAACAGAAACTTATATTGGTATTCCTATAGAAATGATGCCTACCACAGGAACAAACTTCTAGGGGCCAAGGTCCCTTTGGCCCCCCAACAATAAAATATTTGAGGGGGCTGGGCCCCTCCAAAGTTGATGGACATTGTTATTCAAATGGTGTGTGTGTATGTGTGCCACGTCTTGTGATTGATTGTACAGGGTGGGGTTTATTTGGGCCCCTCTAATACAGGTGCGCAGCCTGGGAGTCATTTTGTACTCACAGCTGGCCATGGAGGTGCAGGTCAATTCTGTGTACGCAGAACACAGCTTTATCTGGTATGCAGGCTGAGACCCTACCTGCCCACAGACTGCCTCGCCAGAGTGGTGCATGCTCTAGTTATCTCTTGCTTGGACTACTGCAATGAGCTCTATGTGGGGCTACCTTTGAAGGTGACCTGGAAACTACAACTAATCCAGAATGCGGCAGCTAGACTGGTGACTGGGAGCGGCCGCCAAGATCACATAACACCGGTCCTGGAAGACCTACATTGGCTCCCAGTACGTTTCTGAGCACAATTCAAAGTGTTGGTGCTGACCTTTAAAGCCCTAAAAAGCCTCAGCCCAGTATACCTGAAGGAGCATCTCCACCCCCATCATTTAGCCCAGACACTGAGGTCCAGCTCCAAGGGCCTTCTGGCGGTTCCCTCGCTGCGAGAAGCCAAGTTACAGGGAACCAGGCAGAGGGCCTTCTCGGTAGTGGCACCCACCCTGTGGAAATCCCTCCCACCAGATGTCAAAGAGAAAAACAACTACCTGACTTTTAGAAGACATCTGAAGGCAACTATTATTATTATTATTATTATTATTATTATTATTATTATTATTTCAAGTTGGCACCCCGATGCCTGCATTCAGTATATATAGGGCCCCTAAACAGGGTATGCAGACATGTACATAGCACGATGGTATCTTACATGCAGTTAACTTGCACGATTTTAACTGCCCATGGTTGAAATTGCACAAGTTAAGTCGAAGCAAGGTGGAGAGCTTAGAAGCTCTTTACACACTGGGTCTACTTCTGGCACAGAAATGTATTTCAAAATCGCCTCCTTCATTGCTGGCCAAGGCCCGCTTGGGACTTGCGTACCCTCCAAGTACCCCACTTTCAAGGGACAGTCCTGGAATTACAAAAAGCCATCCTGGCTTCTGATTTGATCCCAGAATGTCCCTATTTCCTCCAGCAGTGCTGCCGCCACCAAGCTCGGGGAGGAGATGCTTGTCCCAAGTGACCCTGGCTGTGAGGCAGCATCCCATTGCCTCCCCGTGGCTGCCTCCACTGGCCTCCTCCATTGGGCAGCTCGTAGCGGCTGCTGGGGGGCAGGCAAGGAGCAGGAGAGGCTACCACTGCCGAGGGGCAGGGAGAGGGCAGGGCCGCCCTGGGCGGGAACAAATGGGGAGTGGAGCAGAGCACAAGGTGTCTCGATTTAAAAAAAAAAAATGCTTTGTGTGTCTGTGTAATCCTGCCCCTTTCTAAAATCGATTTATTTCTGTATGCTTTTCTTTTTGTAACTCTGCCAAAAAAAATATCTAAAAATCCAGATTAAGGGATTTTCTCCATGGCCAGGAAAGGAGCGGCAGGGGGCTCGCTTCCGAACATGTAAAAACATTGGCAATTACTGAAGTCTTGGGTGTGGCTAGGGGTTATCAGACATTGCCTTGTCTATGTAGATAATTGCAGTGGCGTAATTAATAATAATAATAATAATAATGTATTTAATCATGGGTTTCCCCAGCCACTCTGGGTGGCTTCCGACAAGACACTAAAATACAATAACCTATTAAACATTAAAAGCTTCCCTAAACATGGCGTAGTGGAGGGGGAGAGGGGTCTGGCAGGGCTGTGGCCCCGGACAATTTTGTTCAGGAGGCATGCAACCAGGTGCCCCCACGACAGGTTCCCTCATCGAGGATGGAGCTGCGGGCCTTTGGGGCTTGGCTAAAGTGCGCAAGGGAGTTGCCGAGGCAGCTTTCTCACGCAATGGCCCAATGTTGCCAGCCGGCTCCACTTGACCCCGGGGCAGAAGCGGTGGAGAGGGTTGCAGCAGCAGTATGGGGCGTGCGAATGTGCCCTCCCTCCCTGTGCCACTTTCCGAGGCTGGAATTGGATCATCCAACTGTAGTTATGTGTTGATTTACATTTTCCTTTCTTACAATTTTATAACTGTAAACTGCTTAGAAGCCATTTGGGCATGTAAGTAGTAAAAGGTAAAGGGACCCTTGACCATTAGGTCCAGTCGTGATCGACTCTGGGGTTGCGGCGCTCATCTCACTTTATTGGCCGAGGGAGCCGGCGTACAGCTTCTAGGTCATGTGGCCAGCATGACTAAGCCGTTTCTGGTGAACCAGAGCAGCGTACGGAAACACTGTTTACCTTCCCGCCGGAGCGGTACCTATTTATCTACTTGCACTTTGACGCGCTTTCAAACTGCTAGGTTGGCAGGAGCAGGGACAGAGCAATGGGAGCTCACCCCGTCGCGGGGATTCAAACCCCCAACCTTCTGATCGGCAAGTCCTAGGCTCTGTGGTTTAAACCACAGTGCCACCTGCATCCCATTCATGTAAGTGGTGTACAAATGTAACAACAACAACAATAACTCAGCCCAAACCTGAGCAGCCTACATAAACCCTTTCCCCTCTGAAACCTATTTATAAAAAAAAGTTTGACAATTTGGATTTGGAAGAAAATAACACAGAGAACAATTTGTAAATTTGATTCACTGAAATAGCAGATTTTGATTCCACCATGTGAATTTCCCTAGTTTAGAATACAAACTTGCTTACGAAACAAACACAATTCCATTTGCAGCTACAGCAGCAAAGAAACTTGAATGCCTTTTTTTTTTTTTTTTTACTGTTAGGACTGATTTCTATGTCCAGGAATTTAAAAAATAGCACTGATGCTCACCAGTGTTTTGAGAAGGAAGAGGCAGGGAGGGCTGTCTGACTAATTTAGAAACACGGATATTCCGGGCAAATCATTTTTTTTCCTACCTAGGGAAATTCTCACTCCCCGCCTCCTCAGTAACATTTTGCTGGGAACAGTATAAAAGACACAGGGCTCATGGCTCACAGTTAAGTATCAGCAAGTGAAAGCTGTAAGACGGGTCATCGGCCAAAACCTAGAATACTGACCTCACCAAAGACACAGGCTCTACATCAAGTCAGCTACACCAGCATACTTCTGAGAATCAGGATTCTGCAGCCATTGTTGGTAAGTAAACAAGGCTCTATGTGCATGTTTATTTTTATTGCATATTAATAAACAGATAGTAAGCCATGTATGTATTGTAAAAGGTAAAAGGTAAAGGTACCCCTGCCCATACGGGCCAGTCTTGACAGACTCTGGGGTTGTGCGCCCATCTCACTCAAGAGGCCGGGGGCCAGCGCTGTCCGGAGACACTTCCGGGTCACGTGGCCAGCGTGACAAGCTGCATCTGGCGAGCCAGTGCAGCACACGGAAACGCCGTTTACCTTCCCGCTAGAAAGCGGTACCTATTTATCTACTTGCACCCGGGGGTGCTTTCGAACTGCTAGGTTGGCAGGCGCTGGGACCGAGCAACGGGAGCGCACCCCGCCGCGGGGATTTGAACCACCGACCATGCGATCGGCAAGTCCTAGGCGCTGAGGTTTTACCCACAGCGCCACCCGCGTCCCTAGATGTATGTATTGTACCATTGCTGAAAAATGCATAAGGTGCCGAACTCAAAATGATGATTCTTGCCCATAATGAAACAATACCACTTGGAAAAGAATTCCATGTGTGTGATTTGTCCATTTCTTCTAAGAACCTAGATTCAGGTAGGTAGCCGTGTTGGTCTGACGCAGTCGAAATAATAATAAAAAAATGTCCAGTAGCACCTTATAGACCAACTAAGTTTGTTCTGGTATAAACATGCACACAAAAGCTTATACCAGAACAAACTTAGTTGGTCTATAAAGTGCTACTGGACAATTTTTTATTTTTTAAATTTTTATTTCTAAGAACCTGTTACTGTGTTCATGTGTGCCTCTTTCCAATACCCATTCTGTAATAGCTGGGATTGCCCATTTTTCCAGTATTGAGCATGTACTATCCTAACTGCTAAGAAGAGATTAACTGTCAAGTGTTCATTGTTCATTGTTAGGTACATTCATTATGTTATTTGCGGTGTAATCCTCCTATGCCCATCTCCACGGGGCTTAGCCAGATTTCCTCTTGTCCTGCTGCTCTCGGGATTTTCATCTATTCAATTTAAAGCTGAAAAGCAGGGTTTTCCCTGGGAAAGGAGAGGGGCAAGGGGAAAACCACTCAAGCCTGTGTTTTCTGTGTTGAAGTGTGGGCGAGCCCTTAATTCAATAACTATCAAGTAATTATGGATACATAGGATTGTAGTCTCAGAAAAGTACATCAAACCTCACAGCCTAAAACCATGTACCAGTGTTCAACCTCAATATATTTTTCCTCCGCTTTAAAACCCATTCCTTACCATAAATGTGCTGCGCTTCCTTTTTTTCTTTATACAGTAATAATTCTGCAAAGTCAACTCAAGGGAGGGAGAAAAAAAGCTTTATAGTCAGTTCCTGCCATAATGAACGCCCTTTGGTTCCTATCTGCTCTCACCTATGGTAAGTAATGTCTTTCAGAATGGGAAATCCTCTAGAAAAGGGACGGGTGCAATTCAGCTTTCTGGGAACTCCTTTGGTTTTTAATAGAGCCCCAAACGGAATTGTTTGCAGCCTACAATTATTGGGTGAATTATTCAGCTCACTCTGATTTCGCTGCCTTATTTGCCAGGCAGGCACATTATGTGCCCCATGAGAGCAGCAAAATAACCAGACTGTACAATGCTGATGGGTTGAAATCAGGCCATATCTTTATTGACAACAGCAGGCAGGGCAAGGGTTGGCATGCCATTGGGTCCCAGGATAAGTTCATCCTTCTGCCATGTTGATGGGACGGATCTGCCAGGTTTGGACTGCACCAAACCTGTCCTATGGGAGTCAGCCTGTGTTGAACCTTGTCGTGGTGTAAGCCAAGCAAACGAGTTATCAATGGGTGACCAGGCTGCAGATTCCAACCAGGCAGAAAACCAACCCAAGCTTGGGTTTGCTGTGGTCAATCCTCCCCTTAGTCCCACTCCCTACTATGTTGATCCTGTCCAGTGCCATTTCCGCCTTCTTATAAACAACGTTCTTCTGCCTAATGAAGGCCACAATTTCACTGAAGGAAAGGTGGAAAAAACCAACCAAGTGCCAATCAGATTGATAAAGAAAAATTCCTTTCTGGCCCTATCAACCAGTGACCCAAAATTGCTCAGTGAAGGCTCTAACCCTTGCCCAGTATTTTGCTTCAGTCTACAGGCCAAGCAAAGGCGTCCCATGCTCATAGGCGCGGAATGGGGCTTAGATGGGAAAAGTCATTTTGCTGTTGCTTGTGTTAGAAAGCTTGCCAATTTAATGAACCAGAGAGCTATTTCCATTTACCTTTTCCCCAGTCCTACTCTAGAATAATTCAGGAAAAACTAGAGCACGGGAAGTCAAACAAAATAGTTTAATTTGGTACTGAATAATTGGCTCTTTTAATTGTATTGTAATTTGGTATTGTATTAATGTGACTTTTATTGGATTTTATAAATGGAAATTAATAAAAATTATTATACGGGGGGGGGGAATAATTCAGAAATCAACATTCTTTGTTTGATTTTTCTTTCCTCTGTAAGCGGCAGCCTTATTCTGCAGACATTTTAAAAAAGTATACTGAAAAGTCAGAAATGGACAGAAGTCATATTTTGATTAAAAAATGAATACAGAGTGTAGCCTCTCCTTCTTGACTTCTCTGACCAGTTGTCCAAAGTCATGTTATTTCTTCTCTTTGTCTTCTCTAGCCTAGAGAGTTCAGGAGACCTTTCCTCCTTGACTGCTCACTGGTTTTCTTAGCACTTATAGGCCGGTCTCCAAGCTCATTTGCTTTCCTCCACCACCCATCTTCATAGCTATGAATTTCCCCTTGTTCACAAGTAGGCTCTTTACTCCCAAAGGGCCTCAAGCTTCTATTTCTGCATCTCAGGTCCATCACTGGGAATGACATGGTTGTTCACCACTTTTAGAGCCAGGATGCTGCTCCTTCCACCGTTTACCACTTGATTTGGCCATCTGTCTATTTTGTCTTCTTACTCCAGCATAAACCTTGTTTCTGAACCCTCAAGGCTTGGAGAGCTCTCTGAGCAACATTTTCTTAAAAAATAGACATACATAGCAACTTGATGACGTGTTCTTTTTTCCAGGACTTTTGTTGCTTAAGGAAAGCACCTGCTGGACATATCATTATTCACTTGAAACCATGAATTATACAAAAGCTGAGAAATGGTGTAAAACCCACTTTACCCACCTGGTTGCGATTCAAAATATGGAGGAAAACGAGTACTTAAACAAAGAGATCCCTTATAATGGATCGTACTACTGGATTGGGATCAGAAAAATTGGCAATGTGTGGAGGTGGGTGGGAACGAACAAGGCATTGACTGAAGAAGCTAAAAACTGGGCAAAAGGTGAACCAAACAACAAAGGGAAAAACCAGGACTGCGTGGAAATCTACATCAACCGAATACAAGATGCAGGAAAGTGGAATGATGAACGTTGCAGCAATAAGAAAAGGGCTTTGTGCTATACAGGTATGGGATGGGATCCTTCTGACTAATATATTTGCCTCTAAAGCAGCTAGAAACTTGTTTGGCAGATCCTACTGGCTTCTGTGCAAGAGAGCATCTTCTTGTATTGTGTGGCATGCAGACTGCTGAATGTTCAGGGATCATCCACACTTTTTAAAATTTACTTCACTTGTTCCGTGCCCTGATTGCATGGGTCTGAGTGGTTTCCTGCTTGTCCCGTTCTTTCTAGGCACGGGTCCAAGAGGTTTTCCGTTTGCATCACTGCTTTCCCCAGGAAAACGCACTTTACAGCTGAATTGGAGTAAACGTCAGTCGCTGGGAAACCCAGCTGATATTTGCTCTGATTCAATGATAAAGAGGGATAAACCCTAAATAGTCGCAGGCTTGCACCACAGTTTCACTGTTCTCTATTCAGTCTATTCACTCTTCAATATCAGCACTATAATAATACTACTTGTCTATGGGGTGTAAATGTAATATGAGTTAGGGACAGAATGTCAGTAAACACATTTTGATCGTCAGTAGAGTGTTTCAGTTTGTTTATCAATGAACTAATAAACTGATAAAGTAATAAAAAATAGTAGTATGTTTCTTGCTCAAACTGTCGCTGGTGTCTGTAAGCCTGAGATCACTTCAAGAGGGCCAGTTAGTTAAGCTGTCCATTTTACTCATTTGCACAAAGTTTGTAAGGGGGTTGTGCAAAGTCAGCTGTTCCTTGTTCTGATTTGTTCACAAGGAGGTCTTAACTAAGGTTACCAGATTTCCCCGTTTCCCGGGGACAGTCCCCGGATTTTCAAATCAGTCCCCATACAAAATCCATTGAAGTTGAAAAGTGTCCCCGGATTCATTGAAAAAAATCTGGTAACCTTAGCCTTAACAGCTGTTAATCCCACACAGCTGTTAATTCCCTTATTGCAAAAAGTATGATGTTTATTTTTATCTTGGGTGGTGGGAGCAGGTTTGCTGCACAAGAGCATATACATCCACCTCAATTTTGGATATATCCATCTGATTTTGCCGGTGTGTGATTGAATCCCATCTGCAAAACAGCAACAGTGTGGAAGTGGCCTAAGCTGGGAAAATAAGCACAGGACAACTGTGCCGATGACACCTTGTGATAGCCAAGTGTTATGCAGTGGTGCAGTGCTCTATAGTGAAACCATATCAAAGACTGGTGAAAATAAAACTTTTGCATAAAAGGAAGAGAATGGAGAACCCTCCAGTAACTCCAATTTGTGGATTTCTCTGTTCTTTGCTGCCTTGTGGAACATGTTCCCCCTTGGACCCACAGAGCAGAAAAAGATGGGCGGCACCCAAAGGGCATGAGGCCAAGAAAGAGGATGTGAAGCCTGAGGATGTGGCCTACATATGATGCGATATTAAACTCAAAGTGGTTTAATGCATCAATGTCTTCAGGGCCAAGAGCCTGTTCCACTCACTTGTTGTAATAGTTCATTTAAAGCATGTTACATATGTCTTGCAGCCTCCTGTAATCCGCATTCCTGCAGTGGCCATGGCAAATGTGTGGAGACTATTAATAATTACACCTGCCAGTGTGATACAGGATTCTACGGGCGCAATTGTGAACATGGTAGGATTAATCGTATAGTTCTTTTTCAAACTGGACAATTCATCTCTAACCCTGTAGCTTTAATGCACGTTGCTTGAAACAACGGCCTTGCCGAACTCCTTGCTTGTTGTGTTCCTTCTCTATAGTAATTACCTGTGACACACTGAAAAAACCAGATCATGGTACCTTAGAATGCAGCCACCCAGTGAAGGATTTTAGCTACAACTCGTCTTGTCATGTTCAATGCACCGAAGGCTACAAATCCACTGGACTGGAACCCGTACTGTGCACCGATTCTGGAAACTGGTCTGCACCCACCCCTTTGTGTAAAGGTCAGTGAACTGAGCGAGTCCTAAATGAATGAAAACTAATGCAGAACCTCTTAGCTTAACCCTAGAAGAGATGAGGGAAGTGAGTCTTCATTAGCCATGGAGCAACAAAATCTTTGCTAAGTTGGCAAAGGACATTGTTTTGTGTTAGATTCTGTGGGAGTTGTGACAATACAATCATACATTGGATCCCAAACGCCTTGGTACTCAGACGTTTTGGCCCACAAAACCCGGAAGTGAGTGTTCCAGTTTGCAAATGTTCTTTGGAACCCGAATGTCCGACGAGGCTTCCACAGCTTCTGATTGGCTGCAGGAGCTTCCTGCAGCCAATCAGAAGCTGTGCTTGGTTTCTGAACATTTTGGAAGTCGAACGGACTTCTGGAACAGATTATGTTTGACTTCCAAGGTATAACTGTACAACCCAATAGGATAGCCCGAACCACCTTCAAATCCCAAGTTCTCTTTCTCTGGGGGGGTGTTCCCTGAGAAGGCCAAAATGGCACCACCCATACTGAAGAGGGGAGGGATCAGGCAGGCTTGGGAGAGACCTAAGGTTTGCAGCAGTACAAACAAAAGAAAACAACCCACATTTTTAAAAATTAAGGGAATACACTTCCCCAAAACTGGCCCAGGGTATGTTCAAAAGGCACAGAGTGATGACTAACTGTAGAAAGGGAAGAAATGCAAGCAGTGAAGATAGAATGGAGTATCTGAAAACTCGGTTTGTGTGTGTAATGAAGTAACCTAGAAAAGTGCTTGGCCATCTGGAACCCTGAACAGGAGCACTCCACACAGCAACAATTTGTTTCAGGTCCCACTTTTAATTTTGTAATAGTCATTGGAAAAAATTGTCACGTCTTTGGTAGTTAGGTGAGGAATCCATGTTTGGCTTCAGGTGTGTCTTATGGATTGGAGAACAAAGACAAACCTAAAGCATTTTGATTGCATTTCTAGTTGCGGAATGCCATGCGCTCCAGACACCTACTCACGGGTTCCTCAACTGCTCCCACCCCTCTGGGAATTTTGCCTGGAATTCGTCGTGTGAGTTTGGCTGTAAAGATGGCTTCGTCTTGAGTGGTTCCAGCAGGCTGCAGTGTCAGGCATCTGGAGAGTGGGACGGACAACAGCCAGCCTGTGAAGGTACTAGTTTTGTTCCATTGCCTTGCTTACCTTCACAGAGCTCATTATATTTCTCTGTGCACACACCCTGCCCCCCGGCACTCTCCTGTAATGTATCTGGATTAACCAAAGTCACGATCTGTGTCTGTTTCAGCGGTAAAATGTGAAGCGGTACCTTCGCCTGAAAATGGCTCTGTGAGTTGCTCCCATGTGGACGCAGAACTGACCTACAACTCAACCTGTGATTTCGTGTGTGAGCAGGGCTACACCTTAAGAGGATCGCCTCAAATTCAGTGTTCATCCGAGGGACGCTGGTCACAGCCAATCCCTGCATGTGAAGGTAAGATTTCCTATCCATGGGAAAGAAAATGTTCTGAAAAAGCTGCAGTTATGATTTTTATCCCATTGGTTTAAATTGAGCTGAATCCCACTCATCTCTCTAACTTGTTAATCTGTTAAAATGGTTTGTAATGAAAGCTTTCAACACTTATCTCTGGAAATAGTTGTTTTGAAAGAGCTGGAAACAGGCCGGCTGGCCTGCTTCTGTTCCTACTAACTGATTCTGGCCCCTGGTGTTTTCAAAAACCAAATCAGAAAAAGAAAGAAAGCATTGTGAACCACTGTTCCTTTACGCTTCTTTCAAATAGCAGTCATGGGAGGGGCCATCCAGATCAGATCCACAAGGGGAGGCTTTTTAACCATTTTGCCAATGGGTAAAGGTGCCTTCTTCCCCAAAGCTGCTATTTGTCCCAGGTCAGAAGTCCCACTTACACATCTAAAGGCTTATCAAGACTTTCTACTGCTACATTTTAGCTCCAACTGCAGGGGTACCTCGGGTTACATACACTTCAGGTTACATACGCTTCAGGTTACACGCTCTGCTAACCCAGAAATAGTGCTTCAGGTTAAGAACTTTGCTTCAGGATGAGAACAGAAATCGGGCTCCGGTGGCGTGGCAGCAGCAGGAGGCCCCATTAGCTAAAGTGGTGCTTCAGGTTTCAGGTTAAGTACGGACCTCCGGAACGAATTAAGTACTTAACCTGAGGTACCACTGTATTATAAAAACAGGTATTGCCTTTCACGTGGCAAGATATATTCATGCATGGAAGTGTTAATGTGTAGTTCAGCCCAAAGAAAGATGGGAATATATTTTCCCATAACATGCAGGCCCTTCACACTCCCTGCCCGTAGTAGTGACGACTGACCTTTCATTAATGCAACCTTACAATTATGAGCTTTCCCCACCTGAATTTCAGAGTGAGGGAATCTTGCTTCTCTCTAGCATCCTGCCTCTAACGGTAGAGTCTAACACTTTGAAACCTTCAAGCCTCCCAGTCCATTCACCTGCAGCTAGCTCCCTTTCCCATCCATAAAAGCCTAAGCCCATCTTGTCGCCAGGTATATTTTTTCTTGTTACCCCCAAGACAGAACTAATGCAGATGAATATGTCATTTAACAGCTGTGGTGTGTAGTGAACTGAAACCTCCGGTTCATGGCTTCTTGAACTGCTCTCACGCTTCTGGGAATTTTTCCTGGAATTCAACCTGCAAGTTTGCTTGTGCCGAAGGGTTTGCTCTGAGAGGGTCCAGTGAGCTCCAGTGCGGTGCCTATGGAGAATGGGATGGACAAAAACCAGAGTGTGAAGGTACTATCTCATTTGGGCCATTGCCTTTGTCTGCATTACAGGATTATTTTTTTCTTATTTCTGGTGTCCCTGTGACATGCAAACTAAGTTTCAACGGTCTCTTACAGCAGTGAAATGCGAGGTGGTCCATCAGCCCGAAAGGGGCTTTGTGAACTGCTCCCACCTGGACACAGATCCACGCTACAATTCAGTCTGCGAATTTAGTTGTGAGGAGGGCTACAGCTTGAGAGGATCATCCAAAATTCAATGCACATCCAAGGGACACTGGTCAGAGCCAATTCCTGTTTGTGAAGGTGAGACTTAAGCCCATCTCAGCACATTTCCAAATCAGTTTGCAGATACTTTGAAATAAAAAGCCCTCAGGAAAATTCATCAGCATTGTAGTATGCATTTCTCCTAACATACACATTTTTGTGTACAATTTTGCACAATATATACAAGAACTAATACAGTGGTACCTCAGGTTACAAACGCTTCAGGTTACAGACTCCGCTAACCCAGAAATATTACCTCGGGTTAAGAACTTTGCTTCAGGATGAGAACAGAAATCGTGCAGCAGCGGCAGCAGGAGGCCCCATTAGCTAAAGTGGTGCTTCAGGTTAAGAACAGTTTCAGGTTAAGAACAGACCTCCAGAACGAATTAAGTTCTTAACCCAAGGTACCACGGTATATGCAAGAGCCAATAAATGCACAGATATTTTCACTAATATATGTTTTTATCAAATTTTTTTGATAGGAGAATTGAATCACAAAATATAGAGGAGGGGAAATTTTGAAGGATAGCTTTGTTTCAGTTTGTGTCTTGTTTTGGGAAATGCAAATGATGTAGGATTGCATTTAAATCAGAACCAAACCAAATTTCTCCCCTGTCTGTAGTAGAGTTGTATCTCAGGCCTATTATTTATTTTGCTATATTTATAGTCTGCTCTTTAATTATATGCCAAGTGGCTAGTTCATACAAGTAGCAAGATGAGCAGGCAATCCTCTTTCTAGACTACACTACTTTAGTTTGCTGTTACATGAAAAATAGATCAATGTTCACAGAAACTCGCAGTTTACTAAACTTGGGTGGAATCTGCACACATATAAAAAAAAGCTGTGAAAATGCTTTTTATAAAAACATTTTGGAAAATGTATTGGATTTGCCATAGCTCGCTGTCACCATCTAGTGACACATTTGTATATTGAACTGTAAAATGTTTTATTTGCAGCTGTATAGCTGAGTCCTTAGGTTAATATCTGCATCATTGTATTTCAGCAATACAGTGTGAAATACTGACACCCCCTGAGAACGGCTTCTTGACTTGTTCGGACCCTGATAGACATTTTGTCTACGGCACAATTTGCGAGGTCAGCTGTGCAGAGGGATGGGTGCTGAATGGTCCCCACAGACTCCATTGCCTGGCTGCAGGAAACTGGACGTCAAGTCTTCCCGCATGTGGAGGTATCCACTCATCTCATTGCTATCCTTTCTCGTAGTGCCAGCAGTGTAGAAGAGACCTTTGAGTGATCTTGAAAATCAGGGTGGGAAAAGGAAGCGTTTTTAGAAACACATAATGGAGGGTCTAGGGACGCTGGTGGCGCTGTGGGTTAAACCACAGAGCCTAGGACTTGCCGATCACAAGGTCGGCGGTTCAAATCCCCGCGACGGGGTGAGCTCCCATTGCTCTGTCCCTGCTCCTGCCAACCTAGCAGTTCAAAAGCACATCAAGTGCAAGTAGATAAATAGGTACCGCTGCGGCGGGAAGGTAAACGGCGTTTCCGTGCACTGCTCTGGTTCGCCAGAAGCGGCTTAGTCATGGTGGCCACATGACCCGGAAGCTGTACGCCGGCTCCCTTGGCCAATAAAGTGAGATGAGCGCTGCAACCTCAGAGTCGGTCACAACTGGACCTAATGGTCAAGGGGTCCCTTTACCTTTACCTTTTAATGGAGGGTCTCTTCTGATGCAGCTCTCTGAAGATGGTTGGATAGGGGAAACGCTTATGTGAATTATTGGAGATAAGGAACCAGTCGTAAACAGGAGTTTATCCACGAGGGGGAATCCTGGTAACATGGTCCCAGGCAAAGCGCTGCTATGGAGGAACCAAGGAGAGATTACAGAGGAACAGAAGTGCCGATATGAGGCCTCCTGTGCTATAAGCTCTGACAGCTATAAAGTATTATAATAATAGCGATTTACTACTGATTTCATTCAAACTCCTTTTTCCAACTTCAGCTCCTTCAGCATCTTCAAGAAATGTGACAATTGCAGCCACAGTCACTTCGGCCTCGTTGCTTTCAATAGGATCGTTCCTTATTTGGCTCATGAAGCGTTTTCGGAGGAAAGGTGAGATATTTCCCTCATCTGTTTGTTACCAAGCTACACCTAGGACTCAAGTGCACAGTTTTAAATGCTTAGCAAAGTGCAATATGTGACACCAGATGGCGACAGTGAGCTATGGCAAATTCAATATCGTTTTCAAAACGATTTTTTTTAAAAAGCACTTTCACAGTGTTTTTTTTATATGTGTGTAAATTCCACCCTAGTTGCACTTAAAGGGTTGAGGCAGAAATACGGAGTATCATAGAATCACAAAACTGTAAAGTTGGAAAAGACCCTGAAGGTCATCTAGTTCAAACCCCCCCCCCCCATGCAAGAATCTCAACTAAAGGCATTAACACTTACCTGAATCAGAGGTTGCCAATGCACTTGCTGGTCTCTCCTATGACACCCATGAAAGGTCTCAGTTAATATCCCCTTAATAATCCACACTGCACAAGAGTCAGGTTGCTCTTTCTGCTCAGTACTTGTTTGCACTCACACAAAGCCTAGGACTTGCCGATCAGAAGGTCAGCGGTTCGAATCCCCAAGACGGGGTGAGCTCCCGTTGCTCAGTCCCAGCTCCTGCCAACCTAGCAGTTCAAAAGCACTTCAAAGTGCAAGTAGATAAACAGGCACTGCTCCGGCGGGAAGGTAAACGGCGTTTATGTGCGCTGCTCTGGTTCACCAGAAGTGGCTTAGTCATGCTGGCCACATGACCCGGAAGCTGTACGCCGGCTCCCTCAGCCAATAAAGCAAGATGAGTGCTGCAACCCCAGTGTCGGTCACGGCTGGACCTAATGGTCAGGGGTCCCTTTACCCTTTACCTTTAGGTATCCTTGTATTAAACACTCTTCCTTAAACTTGCCCACATTTCATGGGATGCCAGGAGTGGATATCCTCTGTTCTATTCTGCACAGAGGAGAGGTGCAAAAAGTGTGATGTAAGCAATGTGATGGCAGATGTAGGGACCAGTTTTCCCCATTGATGGGGGTGGGGCCTGGGGATGGGGCAGGCCTGCATAATATTGTCGTCCTCTCTGTTTCTGTGACTGGTGCCTTACAGCACTTTCTCAGAACTCCACATGTGTTCACTGACCCAAAAAGTCTGGCTATTAAGTAGTGGACACAAAATTCCACATATAGAACTAGTGTGTAAAAGAGTGCAAGAGGCCAGGTCAAATGTGTCCATCTTAGTACAGCTAAGAAAGTGGAATATTAGCAAAACAACGTGGAGCCAGCTCCTGGGAATGTGGAACCTTTTCCTAGGTACTTGTGCATGGAATTGCAGCCTTGGTGTCCAAATACTAATACTTCCTCTTCTTCTTTTGCAGTGAAGAAATTTTCTCCTGCCAGGTACGTTGCGTTTCAAAACTTATGTGGAAAATTCAAAGTAATATTTTGTTGACATAGCACTGTTTTATGGCGGAGTGATTTATTAATACATGCATTTTTAATTTCTCTTTCGCAGCAGTTGCTACAGCGTGAATTCCGAAGCTACTTTTGGTCACCTGATTTAATTCACTCAGGTAAGATATGAGAAAGTTCATTTGGAAAAGACATATAAAGCTGAGAGTAGGGGTCTTTTTTATTTTTTATTTTAAATCTTTTTTTATTGATTTTTAAGTTTTTACAGATTAGTCATTAATTTAAGCAAATTAAATTAAATTAAGACAAATTTAACTTTTTTCCAAATCTGACTTCTCGCACACCTTCCTAGATGTGTCAACGGTTCTCCTGAGTGCTGCATCATATTCCCCAATTAATTCTAGTTTAACTTCAAACACTACAGATAACCTTATATTACAATATACTTGCGTTTTTGACTTAATTCCTTTTCAGACAACTATCCAATCAATTCCTGCACATGTATTAAATTAACATTTCCAGTTTCAACAAGTGAGGTCACTTATCAGATTGTCAATCCCTACTAAATCATTGATTAATATTAATGAACATAGAATAAAACTTCCTCTCCAGCCCTCTGTGTGTTTAGAAATATAGCAATCTTCTTATTGCTCAGCTCCTTTGCCCAACATCGGATGTAGTCTGTATTCTCTCTCTCTCTCTCTCTCTGATAGGAACCCCAGGTAGATCATCTCACTCAGTATATTTTCCCACCAGTGACATCATAGCAACAAGCCCATGATATCCAGGGATGCTAACCACATTCTCCTAGATAATTCAAGTTCTTGTTTCAGCCTCTTCCCCTGATCCGAGCCCCTTGGCCACAGATGTATATGTAATAAGAATTTGTGGTTGCGATCCTTATCCACACTTACTTGGGAGCAAGCGCTACTGAATTTCAGTGGGACGGAAAGGTGTAAATATGAATAGGGTTGTACGGTGTACAATGTTTTTCCTGAATGCACCTCTTTTACATTTCAAACATTGTTATTTTTGTAGGATTTCAAGCCATCTCCTCTGGAGTATGTGAAGAAGGAGAATGAAGAATGGCCATAAGTCAGGCATCAGAAGTTCTTGTGTTTTATCAGTAAGAACAGCCTGAGCTAAACATTTGCTCTCTGCAAGAGAATATGGCAGTGCCAGTGTCTATCAGGCTTCTCAGAGCATGGACAAAGATCAAACATGGCGCCTCTGGCAGAGAGATCTGTCATCCTGGAACTGAAGAGAAGGTACCACAGTAACCTGAGAAAAATCTTCCTGCTACACCAAAGCCATCTGCCACCTACTGGACATCTCTATTGATGAAGCTGCATCAGATGAGGAAGAGCACTGAATAGTCAGTGTGGAAGATATTTGAACAGCTAGTTCCCTTTCATTTCAATGAGTCTAGCAGGGAGAAATTTTCTGGTGGATAATTACCCACATTTCGTGGGATAAAATAATTATTTGTATAATGCTTAGAGTTCAAATGCAGTAGTGGAAAAGTTCACATTCCCATTCTTAACTTTTAAATGCATATGTTGAAATCCTCACCCAGAATTTTGCATTTTGATTGCCATACAAAATAGTTGATCTATGCCAAAGTCCAAATATATATATATGAAAAGACGACTGTTTTGATTTTAAATTCTGCTTGGAGATGGGTTTTAGATTTGCACCTTTGAAAAGGAAACATTTTGTTTCACATCCTAAAAGTGTTTTTTGAAACCCAGACTTCAAGTTCTTATAGTCACAGATATTTGCCGAAAAATAAATGTGGATGAGTTTCACCTCTTCCTCCTGGTGTGGAAGATATTATTTTGTTTTAAGTGTGCTCTATTTATTTATTTATATTTATTAAACTTATTAGTTGCTTGTAGCCTGAAGATCTCCAAGTGACTTACAGCAATATTTATATATATATATATTATCTAGCTAGCACTGAAATTAATTTTAGGATAGTAGCACCTGTTTAATTTCTTAAATGCTGACTTTGAAACATTTATCAAAGCTACCGCAACCTTAATTCAGTTATAACAATGTAGATTTTTTTCCTTTTTGGCTGCTATGTTTTACAGAGCGTTTTCACTATCTTTGTGAAAGCAAAAGTGTAATTAAATCCAAGGCGTTAGAAATTTTTCATCCCTATGGGATTTAGTACTGTAATTTCAATTATATTGATTATATTTATTGCTTGGGCATTTTCATTTCAGGACAAAAAAAAAAGATTATCTAAAGAAAAAAATAGTAAAATTAATTATATTTACTAAAAATCCTCCTAATAAATAGCAAAGCTAAAAACTGCTGAAACAAATGGAAGCATGTTTTCCTTATTGTGGCTTATATCCACAGTCTTGGAATACCTCGATTTTACTTAATTTGTTCCAATTCAATATTGTTTAAATAGTTTAGATTCTTGTATATCAGGCCAACAGCCCAAAGGGTGCAGACGGTTACATCCATCCCCAGAAATTCTGTCACTTCTTAATTCTGAATTTTCCTTTGAAGAGTTAAATTACATATTTTAAATTAGGGGGTTGGGGGGGGGATGTTTCAATACTATCAAATACAGTTAAAAGGCACTGCTAATTTCTGAAAATGATGCCCATGTCCTGTCCCGGGTTTGCCTGATCTTATTTTCCTCTATAAACATTCCATTATATTCAGTCGTTCAGAATGAATATATCAGTCGCATCTAAGGAATACTTTAAACTACCTTATAACAGCACCTGCACAAAGCTCTCTACTAGAAATGATACCCTGTTATATATGAAGTACAAAAATATGCAAAATCTGAGTACCTGAAATGTAGAGACTGAAAATTTAACAGTTATTTGGTATATGTTCAGACAATTGGGATATAATTTCAGTAGCCTGTTGATGGGTAGTCCAGTAAGATCCCTGGCAGTAACCCTAAGCATGTTTCCCTTAAAATCAGTGACACAATGTACTGTATTTCCTAGTAAACATGGTTAAATCTAGCTTCCTGGACATCCAAATCTTTTAAATCCTGATCTAAGTATAGACCATGAATGAATGAGTGAGATTGTCTACCAAGCAATGTGTTTCAGGTCAGGGTATTAGTGTTTACCCCTTCAAACAGTGGCGTGGGGTTTCCTTATATTTCAAATCCCCCCTAGAAGCACACAAATAGTTTAAATCTAAAACATAATAAAATATGGTATGTATTTAATTTATTCAAAGTTATGTATTTAATTTGGCCGTCGCCAGAAGTTTATTGTGCTTTTTTGTTTACGTGCATTCCCAATAAAACAGTTCTGAATTCAAAGCCTGTTGAAAATTTGCATTATTAAGTCTGAACTGCCTGAGTCTGAACTCACAACTTTTGGTGGCAGCGGCTGCGTGGATTATAATCTTGTTTTGCTCATCCACCACAAGGGCGCAGTTCACAGAAGCAGTGCTCTCCTGCCGCCACAGAGCTTCCATGGAATGAAACTCTTGCAGAGATTGTTCCCTTGACATATTAAGAGTGAGAAAACACAGTGACCGGCAGATGGTGCCATTTGCACAGGACTCCGTGTCTGACGGATGGAGAGGGTGCTTCAGTCATGGTAGAGCTGAACACCCCAAATTCTCTCTTTTTTTTTAAAAAAAAAAATATTTATTGAATGATTTTATGTTACAAAACACATTACAACCATACTACCAAACTTTCCATACAAAACACACATATGTACAGACGCACACACAAAAATGAAAATAATGAAAGTAAATATTTCCCCCCTTTTATCTTACAAAATATTTTCTTCAATTTTGACTTCCTGTCAAGTCCCTTCGCATATGTTTTATCTTACAATCGAATGCACACAAAACAATAAACCTTTCTATATAACTTTTCCAATACATTCTGAAAACATAATAAATCCTTAATTGTTATCCACCTCCTTTTACTTCCTTTGTCACTCGAATGCTAGCACGGAGTCAAAACCATTATTGTATTTTTGAACATAATCTTCTATAAGCATCCCATTTTTCCGCAAATTTTTGCTTTGAGTTTCCTCTGAGTTTGCTAGTCAACTGAGCCATCTCCACCAATTCCTGTAATTTGATTTGCCAATCTCTTAAAAGCACCTTACCATGCTCACAGTCCTAGGAGTGAATTGTGGTACTTCCTTTTTTTTGGCTAAAGAGCTGCCTTCACTTTTTTGGGGGGGGGGGTAAATAATTTTTATTAATTTTCAATTCCAAAAATCTAATATGCACATATTATATTAACACCAAATAGCAATAACAATTCAAATAAAAATCAATTACATAGCCAACTATAAATTTTCTGTGGCTTCCCACGTGCTGTACTTCAAGGTCTTGTTCCCTTTCATTCTGCCTCTCTAGACCATTGCTCAAACCAAATAAAATCCATTCTTGATAAAAAAAAACCCTTATACCACAGCTACAATGATTAACTTCAATTCACATTAACACATATACAGTGGTACCTCAGGTTAAGTACTTAATTCGTTCTGGAGGTCTGTTCTTAACCTGAAACTGTTCTTAACCTGAAGCACCACTTTAGCTAATGGGGCCTCCCGCTGCTGCTGTGCCGCTGGAGCACGATTTCTGTTCTGAAGCAAAGTTCTTAACCTGAAGCATTATTAAGTTCTTAACCTGTAGCATTATTTTTGGGTTAGTGGAGTCTGTAACCTGAAGCGTCTGTAACCTGAAGCGTCTGTAACCTGAAGCGTATGTAACCTGAGGTACCACTGTAGTAATTTGCAAATTCGCAAGTGAAGTTCTTTCTTCTTCCTGTGTGAGGTTTTAATTTCCATCAATTGTTCCTTTAACTCTTTATCAAATATTATGTCCATATTAGTTATTCCTGATCCCTTTGTGCCTTACAGCTTTGTTGACTTGAAGTTACTCTGGAGAGATCTCTCTCTTTGTTCTCAACTCTTCTGATTGCAGCTGAAAAATTCCACCTTCACTCTTGACTGTGCAGCAGAGTCACACACAGGCCAGCAGCCCCTTCCTCAGTTGATCCACACACGTCAGGTATGAAAGGGTATCATTGTCGTCTCTGATCATCAAATGACTGACCTGATGGCCAGGGAGGGAAGTTCATATCAGTGCATTGCCAAAATTGGCAGGGTCTTAACAGGGAGTAAGGACGCAGGTGGCGCTGTGGGTTAAACCACAGATCCTAGGACTTGCCAATCAGAAGGTTGGCGGTTCGAATCCCCACGACGGGGTGAGCTCACGTTGCTCAGTCCCTGCTCCTTCCTGCCAACCTAGCAGTTTGAAAGCACATCAAAGTGCAAGTAGATAAATAGGTACCGCTCCGACAGGAAGGTAAACGGCATTTCCGTGCGCTGCTCTGGTTTGCCAGAAGCAGCTTAGTCATGCTGGCCACATGACCCGGAAGCTGTACACCGGCTCCCTTGGCCAATAAAGCAAGATGAGCGCCGCAACCCCAGAGTCGGTCACGACTGGACCTAATGGTTAGGGTTCCCTTTACCTTTATAACAGGGAGTAGGACGGGGGGGGGATGCTTTGGTGGTTGGATCAGGCTCCCAAAGTAGGGATTCGCCACTCCTGAGGCAGAAGCAAGTTTCCCCCCCAAAAAATGGCTTAAGCATGGCAATATTGGTAAAGGTCTTGGGAAAAATGCACTTTGAACCATGGGGAGCCTTCTTTGAGAGGATACCACCCACCGAACGGAAAGCCCCATATTGTTTAAATGGAAGCTAAGGTAAAGGCAGAGGGACACAGGTGGCACTGTGGGTTAAACCACAGAGCCTAGGACTTGATAATCAGAAGGTGGGTGGTTCGAATCCACACGACAGAGTGAGCTCCCATTGCTCGGTCCCTGCTCCTGCCAACCTAGCAGTTCAAAAGCACGTCAAAGTGCAAGTAGATAAATAGGTACCACTCCAGCGGGAAGGTAAACGGCATTTTCGTGCGCTGCTCTGGTTTGCCAAAAGCGGCTTAGTCATGCTGGCCACATGACCCGGAAGCTGTACGCCGGCTCCCTCGGCCAATAAAGCGAGATGAGCGCCGCAACCCCAGAGTCGGCCACGACTGGACCTAATGGTCAGGGGTCCCTTTACCTTTAGCTTTAAGGTAAAGGTAAAGCTATCATGCCACAAATCAGAATGCCTGGTTGTTTTTAAAACAGTGGTGGCAGCAACACCAAAAGCAAGCTCTCCCCTCCTGAAGAATTAGTGCTTCAGATGGGGAGGAATACCCTCCCTTTGTGAAACATCTGCAGTTGAAACAGTGCAGGGGACTGTGGGCCTAGGGCAAGAGGTTCTGCGCTAGAAAGTTACTTAGCTGAAGGGCCGGCCCACCCATGAGGCAAGGTGAGGCGACTGCCTCAGGTGGCAGGATCCACAGAGCAGCAGATCACAATGCAGATCTGTATTGCCCGACCTGTTCCTGCTGTAGATCATCACTCACCCCTTCTTGCCCGGCAGGGAAGAGAGGTGGCCTTTTGTGGTTTGCCTCAGGTGCCCAAATGTCTTGGGCTGGACCTGCTTAGCTGATACTTAGCACTCCTTGAATTCCTGCCTATACAAAGCCACAGGACTCAAAAAATCCTTTGTAAGAAGTTGCAGATTTTATTTATTTACGGTAATTTTATATCAAAGTTTGTTGTTTGTATGGTTGTCTTTTAATGTTATATCTTGCCTTTCCTTCTAAAGGAGCCCAAAGTGACAAACAAGAAAAGATAGAAAAGGCATGGGCAAACTAGACCCTCCAGATGTTTTGGGACTACAATTCCCATCATCCCTGACCACTGGTCCTGTTAGCTAGGGATGATGGGAGTTGTAGTCCTAAAACATCTGACGGGCCGAGTTTGCCTATGCCTGAGATAGAACAATAAAAACATTAGAAACAGCTTTAAAAAACAGAAATTCCTCTGAAATAATTCTAATATAGATGGGGACAGGGGGAGATCTCATCTTAATCAGCTTGTCCCAAGAACATGATTAAACGCAGGCATGGAAAATAACACCTGGCTCCTCACAAAACGATTGTCTGCCTCTATGCCTCCTTAAAGGTCCACGAAATAAACCGCTTTGTAAACACTGTGAAACCTCAAGGTATTACTGGTGTGCTATTCCATCCTGGTGGGGCTTTCTGCTTAAAATAGGGAGCCAGACAGGGAGCCAAGGATGGTCACAGCATGTCTAATGGGAGCACCATAACAAGGACTGACCTCTGGGTCAGAGATCTAAGGAGGTAATGCTTATGACTTAGTGATTATCGACTAAAGAGTAAGCAATAAATGGCCATTCTCCACCACCCCACCCTCAGGCAGGATGGAGCCCCCAGAGGATGATCAGATGGAACATGTTAATCCCCCCCGGTTCCCTGAGATGCCCTGTAGATTAGCCCTACATGCCCGATGAAAAATCCCCACTGAATCTGTTCTCAAGACTAAAGTCCCTCCAGAGCTTACAGTTGCTGTCTCTTCATCAATATTACGCATTATTCGAATACCGAAAGCTCCGTGGACAATAAGGAGGAGATAACAGGATGGATGGGAGTCCGTCCATTTTTGCGTTTGAAGGCAGAATCCGAACTTTTGGTGCATCAAAAGGATGCGAAGAGAGACTTCTGGAGACGGCAAAGAGCGATACCAAACGTGGTTCAAAGCAAAAGGTAAACTGTTTTGCAGCAGCACAATTCATGGTTGCAATTTCATTTGCCCCCCACACTTTGAAAACTGAGGTTTTGCTGTATATTATAAAATGTTTGGCTAGGCGAGGAGAATCTTGCCGTTATATGCTTTACTTGTCCATTTTCCAGCTCTGTATTTAATAGTTAAGATAATTAAAACAGCGTGACTCAATGCCCAAGATTGTATAGTGGTGTAATAATCCACTGAAGCAATGAATGTCTAGACTGTCTATAGCTTGCCAGATTAAAAGGTGGCAGCCCTACATCAGCTACCCATCAGCTTTGTTGCCAGTGCTGCTACTTTTATGTCTCCACAGCTGTAGAAACATCTGGCGGAGAAGAGGAAAAGAGCAAGACAGAAGCTTTATGCTGCACTGCTGAGAAAAATGACCTCACTGACATGTCTCTGTTTATGAGATTGGCCGTGCCATTTTAACAAACCTTGCATGCGCAGGTGCCAAGTTTTCTGATCATGTAATAATTTCACAAACGTCTCAGTATAAGAGTGGTTATTTCCTGTAAATAGTTACAGCCGACCTTTCCTCTGTGTAGATACCAGGGCGGCATACAATGCGAAAGAGGACTGGGCTCAAGCAGCTTTTTAACAGTTGTC